AGCATGAGATCCTATCCAAAAAAATAAACAAAAAAGGGCTGGAAGAATGGCTCACGGGTAGAGCATCTGCATAGCACCTGCAAGGCCCTGAGTTCAAACTCTCCCTGTACTGCTAGAGAAAGAGACAGAGACAGACAGAGAGATAGAGAAAGAAAGACAAGGTTCTGAATCCTAGTTCAACTCTAAAAAGTAACTTAAATTTCCTTAAAATTTAGTTATTCAGTTTTCTTTTCTTTCTTTCTTTTTTTTTTTTTTGAGGGGACTTGGGATAGAACTCAGGGCTTGTGTGGGCTACCCAAGTGCTCTATCACTGAGCTACATCCCCACCCCTTTCTTAAATTTTATCTTGAGACAAGGCCTTGCTAAGTTCAAAGTCCGGCAGCGATGAGAGAAGGCAGCGAGTTGTAATGTCAAAAGCACAGGGCTTGGAGGCAAGGCAGGTGAACCTTTGCTCTGTCTGTGTATAATGATGATGTTGGATTGGATTGGATATTTTCTCCCTTTTTCTTTTCTTTTTTTGGTGGTACTGGAGTTTGAACTGGGGGTCTCACACTTGGTAGGCAGGTGCTCTACCACTTGAGCCACTCCACCAGCCCTTTTTGTGATGAATATTTTTTGAGATAGGAACTTATTTGCCCTGGTTAGCTCTGATCCAGGATCCTCCTGATCTCTGCCTCCTGAGTAGTTAGGATTCCAGGTGTAAGCCACTGGTGCCGGGCTAGATTGGGTATTTTCAGTGTTCTCTTTGAACATTTACTGAGTGCAAATCTGTGAAAATTTTGGCTTGTCTTTTCCTTGTTGTAAGAACTTAAATGGATACGCTTTGTGGTAGGTTGAGTAACGTCTACCCCGAAATGTCCATCCATGTGGGCATCTTCATTCCTTGTTGAACATGTTACCTTACCTGGCAAAAAAGACTTTGTAGATGTGATTAGTTTAATAGCCTTGAGATAAGACATTTATATTGGATTATCTTCATGGGCCTAATCACAACGCTTTATAAAAGAGGAGGGATAGAGGCAGAAGAAGATGGAGAGGGGTTAAGGAAACAGAGGTCAAAGAGTTGCAGGCCATCTAGAAGCTTCTAGAAGTTGGAAAGGAGGTAAGATTCTTGCCTAGAGCCTCTAGAAGGAATAAAGCATTTATTTGGTTTTAGCTCAGAGACTGATTTAAAACTCTTGACTTCTTGAGCTGTAAGATAATAAACTTGTGTTGTTTGAAGTCACTAAGTTTGTGGTAATTTATTACCGCAGCAATAGGAAAGTAATACAGTGTGGTTTTGCTAAAAGGAGACAAGTTACTCAATGTACTATGTAGAGACATTTGGTTGATCCATGTTTTATAATTATGATTTTTAAATGAACTTTTAAAACTCTGGTGTTTTTTTAATTAATGGTAGGGAGATACAGTCTTGAAGGCTATTGCACACCCCAAACCTTCTGTCCCCATTCTTCCATTTCCAACTTATAAGTTTTCCAATCAGTTCATGATTCCACTTCACAAACCCTCTTGGAAGAAGAGATCAGAGCTGATACATCCAGCAGGCGGAGAATCATTTCTTCCCTATGACCTAAGTTGACTCTGAAATGACAGCACACCACAACTTGATTAAAGGTGTGGCAGAATATAGAGTAGGCTGGCTGGATCAGTTATAAAACATTTTTTTTCTTCACGCTGACATCTGTGCCTTACTTTATCCTTGCTAAATTGATTGTATTCTACTGACATCCTCACTGGTATTTCTATTATATTAAGACTAACAGAACAGCCCTCCTGGAAGAAAGGGTGGTTCAAAAGATAAAATATGGTCATGGCTGAGAACTACTATAACACACTAATAATCTCTGTGATAGAACTTGACTTCTTTGGAATCTGCCTTCATTGAATTTAGGATTTTACTGGGTCTCATTTACTCGTTTGTTTGTTTATGTATTTATTTATGGAATTAGTGCTCCATTCATCTTGAGTCTAGTTTTGTAGCTATACCCTATCCCGGAGGGAGAGGAAAACCCAAGCACAGGATGCTCAGACAAAGTTTGGATTAGGATCAATCTGAATAACTAGGAGGCTGTGAGTCATGACTGGCAGAGATCAGTATTATCCTTAGGCTAGAAGTCCTTGGGATTAGGGAATGTGCCTTAGTGTAAATAAAAGTCTTGTGGGAAATTAGGCTCACAAGAATGTAAAAGAAATTAGTCAGTGTATAGTCAAATATCAAATAATTGCAAAATTAAATCAACTCATGCTCTATGATAAATAGCTAAATTAATTAAATAAAGCTTTAATTTAGCTGAAATTCAAATTGCCATCTGGATGGAAAGAAAAAGTTTATATGAACTTAAAATAGCTTTGAATAGAAGTAATCTATCCTATGGGTCACCAATTTCTGATACTATCTACAACAAGAGGATGGCAACCTGTGATTATTAAAGCAAAACAGTTGCAGCCAACCAGGTCATATGTGAGCTCCTTATCTTAGTATCAATAAACACATACACTTGCTCTGGCTTCTGTCTTTTTTAACTCAGTTGCCTAGCATTTACTGAACATCTGCTATACCCAATATATCATAAATCACTGATTTGGTGCCCTGAATAATCTTACTTTCTTCCTTAAAGCCCTCTAGTTATTACCAGGTTGTGAGCTGTAAATATAAACATATACTTATTTTAATAGTTAATTTATAAGAGCTTTAATGAGTATTTTAAAATTTAAAACCTAGATTTAAATCTGCTAAAGTATCATTTTATTTCCTTTCTTCTTTTCCCTTTCCTTTTTTCTTTCTTTCTTGTAAAAATATCAGTTCCTATTTAGCTTCTTTTATTTAGCCCCTTTTTCTTTTTTTAAGAAAAAGCAAGGAAATAAAAAGTCAGATTTAAGAAACTGGTATCTATAAGCGATCGTTTGCTTTGAAAATAATTACTAAAAAGCATTCCTAAAATCTTGAACTCATCAGAGTAAGTAACTCCATAGCTAATTGGAATAACCTGGAGACAATGTGCTTTGATACTATTAAAAACTTTGTTACAACAAAAATGATATATTTTAAAAAACATCTTAAGTACTGTGCAGTATAGCTGGACACTGGTGGCTCATGTCTATAATTCCAGCTACTTGGGAGGCTAAGATCAGGAGGATCGAGATTCAAGGCCAGCCCAGGCAAAATAACCCTATCTTTAAAACAACCAGAGCAAAATGGATTGAAGGTGTAGCTCAAGAGGTAGAATGGTAGCTTTGCAAGTGCAAAGTCCTGAGTTCAAACCCTAGCACCACCAAAAACCAAACCAAACAAAAAAACTGTGCAATAATTTGGAACTTTAAAATATTGGTAGCCTCTAAACAGCTGCTGGTCTCTGCTTATTTTCTGCCCTCATCAGCTGATAGCCTCACAGATCTTTGCAAGTGTTTGGGACCTCAATTTGCATCAGTTGTTTGGTCCAGTGTGGGCAGTGGATTTATCTAAAAGAATGATGCCTGTGGAGCATACTTTAAAATCTTTGGGAATAACATGGGAATGAAAGTTTAGAAGGGCCACTAATTAGAAAGGAAAGTATTTTATTGCTCGCTGTGGGTATTCCAGGGGCAAGCAGGCATTACAGGTATTGGCTAGTCCAGGAAGAATTATAAACCTGGAACCTGGGTTCTGAGGCTCTAAGCATTCACACCACATTTCCCTTTTCCTCCTGTCTACCCTGCCCTGGAAAGAGGCTACCAAGCTCTGTACTTCCATGCACAGCAAAACAGGCAGTCAGTGACAATGCTTCTGAACCTTCTCAACCAGTGTTCCAATGTCCCAATCCCATTTTTACTTTGCATTTAAAAAGGGTGGTATCATCCATAAATGGCTTTAATTCTTTTCTGCACTATTTCAGATCATTGTCAGAATGTACAATAGAGAGGCTGGCTGTAGTTGTCACTGTAAATGGAAGAAAAATATAATTAAGAAGAACTGATGGTGGTACATGTCTATAATTCCAACTCTCAAGAGGCTGAGGCAGGAGGATCGTGAGTTCATGGCTAGCCTGGGCTACATGGTGAGACCCTGTCTCAAAAAAAAAAAAAAAAAGACTTTCCATGTTTAAATAAGTGGAAAACATGACTAAGTTTGCTAATATTGTTATTTATATAGAATTTGTAAATCGTATGTATATTACATACAACAAAGGATACATACATTTAGACACATTACTTGATTAATAATAGAGAAATGCATTTTCAATTTTTCACCCACAATAAAAGTAGCTTTTATTTTAAGTTAGTGCATGTTCTTACCCAGATAGACCTATTCTGGGCTCTATTCTGCCAAACCCAAAGCCTAGAATCACAGAATCTTCAGGATGGATCATGTGAGGTGTTTCACTTACTGGTGAAGTCGGCTGTAGCCTTAACTCTGCCAGAAATTGTATATTGCAATACTCTCCAAACCCCTTGTTCCCATAAAGGCATAAAATGGAATTTTAGGAAATAATGGATATTAATTGAGTGAAATGTTGAGAGAAAGATGAGGGCAATTCCTATGATCTGAGAAAAGGAATGAACACAAAGTACTCTGTCATGGGTTGCAAATCTTTGACGTTCCACGTTAAAGATGGCCTCCCTGTTACACCACAGGTCCAACTACCTCTTATTCTCTGTGCTAAAACCTTTCAACCTACTTAACTGGATAATTTTCCCTCTGGGAACATAGTTCCAATTTTATAGCAGAAGTTGATGATGGGAGAACTGCATTCACTTTGCAGGAAACTGCTTTACAAGCAAATGTGTTAGAACATTTTTATAAACTGAAGGGTACAGGCATTACCTTGCTCTTGTGAATTTAGCAAAGTTCTTGTTTCCTTTTAAAAATCTGAAGGGGAAGATGTGTGAACAGAACATGTCTGTACTTGGGTAGCATGATTCTCGATACTGATATATACAATAAAAGAGATCAAAGCAAGCCAAGAAATTACTCAGTACTCTTTGTATTACACAAAGGTCAAACCCCGTGCCAACCAACAGCATCAGTGCACTGACTGTGCATTTACTGATCTAAAGTATTTGTCTCCATTTCTCAGCAGTTCCCGGTGAGTTCCCTGTTCCTTTATTTTTCCATTGTGCAGAACCACAATGAGATCTGCATTCTGTATTGTGGAGAGTCTGTGAGCCACCACCAGGCATGTCCTCCCTCTCCGGGCTTTAGGTAGGGCCTGCTGAACCACCTGGAAGAAGAAGGACCTGTGAGGGCCAGTTTGGGTCACAGGTTAACAGCTGTGCCTAAGTCAGGTAAACCAATAACATTCTTGGTTTCATTTGCTTATTCCCAAAGGAACTACCCTACTTTATAAAATATTCACCCTACTCAATAGTAATCTAGAAAAGGTAATTATAGATACATTAAATACAACTTTCTGTTGGAAAAGCATGTGTGACAATGAATGAAAGAGAAATGGGAGTATGCAAATAGTTCTAAACTCAAAGCTGGGAAGTAGTGATTCTGTATGTAAGTAAAATTGTCTTGTTATATTCCTTTCGTTTCCTCTCTGCTAACAATGAGGTTATAGTGCTACACAGATGTAATAAGAGTAGTAGGTGAAAAACAATACCTTTGCAACTTATAAATGTTCCAGCGTTGGAATAACTTCAATAAATCTCGCAATAACTTCATAAGGAACCAGTATTTTCATTTTCTTGATAGATGAACTGTGGTTGGAAGAGTCCTGGTCACTTAACTAAGCCATACTTCTAGTAACTGGAGTCAAACCCAGATAGGTTTAACTCTCAAAGTTATGTTTTCCTCATTCATAGCACACTGTCTCTTTGGAATTTAAGAATGGTAATCATCTACAAATAGCAATCACGTGTGGCTCAGCTGTCTGGGCTCTTAGGTCAGACATCCTCCATCAGAATATAGGGAAACTTCTTAACCTTTCTGCACTTTAAAGTGCTGATTTGTAAAATGAACATTCTAACAAAAGAAGTGAGTTCATGAAGTTGGTGTGAGGATTGAGGTGCTAGCATATAACAAACAGTTAATAACTATTAACGATTATCATTAATTTAACCAATGTTCATTGACTAAAGAAGAGCCTATGATGTACAAGAGATGACAAGTAGACAAGGACAAGCACAGCTGGACATTGGCATGGGCTTGAGGTGCAGGAATATTGTCCTATATTCCTTCACTTCCTGTTTCCTGCTCCAACCATACCAACTAGTAGTCTGGAGAGGGTGGAATAACTAACTAGCGGCTCTGATGTTGCAGTTCAGGTTATGCTTTTCGCACGTGGATTACCTTACTAATTTGTTTAGCATCACTGGGACAATAATAAAACAGAAAAGAAATATGGGCTCTTTCCTTGACTGTAGAAACATTTCAAGAACTGGGCCCATTTGATAATGAGACAAATTCAAGTGAGAGAGCTTTCCAGAACATGATGAGATGTCCTCTGACCCATCTCTCTCCCACCTTCCCACCACTGACTGTTTTTTAAAGGACTTAATTAGAAGTGAGGTCCCTATGATCACAGCTCTTTCCTAGACTTTCTTTCCCCAAGCTGATCTTGGTCTTCCATGACCAGCTCCTGTTTGTATCGCACTTGAGATGGAAGAAGAGGAAATGTTACCTTTTTACTCTCATTGTCAAGGGCTGAAGTGTCCTCAATCAACGGTAAAATTTTTGGCTTCTGGAGAAGAGCCCTTGCAATAGCTAGTCTTTGTTTCTGGCTGCCAGAAAGCTGCACTCCTTTCAGTCCAACTTGTGTGTTATATTTCTGTTACGGGAGCATGATTATTAAATTAGCAAGGCAACCATGGTTGCTCAAATAGCTCAAATTTTGCTACTCTTGAAAATTTATGTCCTAACAAGTACTGGAATCTATTCCTGGCCTTTGTCGCAAATAAATGCTAATGAGCAATAAACTCTACCATCTCATTTGCATACCCAGTATGATCCCAAACCACAGACCTTTGCCATTATGCTTCTACAAGGGAATTTTTCCAATTAAATAAAGCACAAGAAAAAAAAATTATGGGCAAGAAAAAGTTCCCAGTAAACACAAATCCTTTTTCATTAAGTTATATTATGTTCTGTTTTTAGGTCAAAAAAATTCAAAGTATTTGGACACAACAGGGAATCATCACATTCCTTAATTTTGGCCCTGTAACCCCCTTGATGCCAGGATGTGGTTCTCAGTGGGCATGTGTTTTCTTGGAAGTCAATTAAGCTGGCTTCTTGAAACAGCCCACTTTTTCAGGCCACCAAGCACTTATGATGATGCTCAGTACCTCACAGTGTTTTCAGGGTTCCCCTACTTACTAACAACCGTTTACTTTAGTGCTGCTTTCCATAGAAGTGTGAAGGAAATTTCACTCATCCAGAAGCCATTATAGTCCCCTGGTCATGCCTGGTCAGTTCAGTGGGAGTAAACAGGTTCCTGCACGTTCTCTAAATTGTCTAATTGACTTTGCTTCCCTCTTGACTATGTTCTAGCAGCTCTTGGCAGTGGTCTAAGAACACCTGCCCTTGGTGCCCAGGCAAGAATGTCTTGATGGATCGGCTGCTCTGAGAAAGCAAGTCCAGGTGTGTGAAGTGTAGCAGCCTCCCACAGAAGGCACTGCATGTGATCCATGTATGACCATTTTGTTTTAGTTACCAGAGAAGCGACAATGGCCTTTCCTTCCTCATCTGAATGCCTTCAGGAGGTGTCCTAATGATGAAGCAGTTTATCTCAAAGTTTACTTTTCATCTGAAAGCATAGTTTTTTGCTTTATATCAAACAGTAGGTGTCAGAATTACCAACACTGGTAAAAGTGTCTTTTCTGAAGTGATGCTCTATAGAGGACACAGCTGTTACCATCTCCTCTGTGATGTATCTGAGAATGCCAGAGGGCAGTGTTAAGACCTAGAGAGAAGAAAATGTGGACCTGTCTGTCTGTCATCCAGTCTGTTAGTCTGCTGTAAGGCACTAGGTCTTGATGCTTTAATGTCAATCTCTGCAAACAAAAGATTTTTTTTTTTGCAGTCCTGGGGTTTGAACTGAGGGCCTCCTGCTTGCTTGGCAGGAACTTCAACACTTGAGCTAACTCTTCCTCTCCCCCCTGTCCCCCCTGGCCCCAGTCCTTTAGCTTTAGCTATTTTTTTTTGGATAGGACCACACATTTTTGCCTAGGATTAGCCTCAAACCATGATCCTCCTACCTTTGGCCTTGTTTACAGCTGGGATCAAAGATGTATACCACTATGCCCAGCTTATTGGTTGAGATGGGGTCTTGCTAACTTTTTGCCCAGGTTAGACTTAAGCCATGATTCTTCTGATTTCTACCTCCCCAGTAGTTGGGATGACAGGGGCCCCTGGGTCTGGCCTTCCACCCCTTCCCCCATTTTTTTTTTTTTTGTGAGATGGGATCTCACTATGCAGGCCACACTGGTTTGGAACCTGTGAGCCTCCAAAAGGCTACTTTCAACAGGTTTTTTTTTTTTTTTTTCCTTTAAAAATTTGGGCTGTCAGAGTGGCTCAAGTGGTAGAGTGCCTGCCTAATAAATGTGAGGACCTGTGTTCAAATCCCAATATTGTCCCAAAAAATAAAAATTTGATCTCTGGACATGGTAGTGCATGCTTGTAATTCCAGCACTTGGGAGGCAGAGGCCAACCTGGACCTAACAAGATCCTGTCTTGAAAAAAAAAAAAATATATATTTTGATGATGTCATTTGTCTGTCTAAAAATGTATAGTAGCTTTCTCTTTCTAACAAGACAAAGTCAAACTTTTTATCTTGGCTTATCAAGATCTTCATATTCAGTTCTCACTCATAATTTGACCTCTTCTCAATTCTTCACTCTTTGCCTTATGCTCTAGAATTTAAAGATTTTCCCCAACACCTAAAACCCTCAAGACTCGGTTTAGAGTAACACCCTCGGTGTGGTTTTCTCCCAGCTTCCCTTTATTGTACTCCCATCACTGCCTGTGTTTCATTCCAACAGGCTGCCAGGAATAGTGAGCATCTCCTTGATCATCTCTACAATCTTGAGCCACAAGTCCTGGCAATTCTACTTTTTTTTGTTGTCTCTTTTTGTCATTTGTTTTGAGACAGGATCTGGAAACACAGCTCAGACTGGCCTCAGTCCACCTGTGTCAGGCCCCTAAGTGCTGGAATTACAGCCGCTACCCCTGGCAGGCTTCTCATTCCATGAACACATTAGCAGTTTCTGTCTCTAGTTTTGCTCAGATGTACCCATGGCTTCATTATGGCAACTGTCTCATTATACCCTTGCCTGCCAAAACTCTACTTGATCAATTTTCAGGACACCTCTATTCTCTAAAGGCCTCTAAGCCCCCAACCAGAAGTGACCAATCTCCCCTGAGCTCAGACAGTCGTTTGTTTATACTCTTTGTATGTTAAAATGATTTGTGTATGTGTTGGTCTGTGTTCACTTGAACCATGTAGAGCTATATTTTATTTGCTTTTGTTTTCTTCTCTAAATAATAGCTTAGTGATTTGCAAAGAACAAGGCTCAATAGTTGTGTGTTGAGTGAATAAATTCATGACTGTTTTGATGGGGGAATGAAGACAGGAAGTACAAATTCTGAGTGAGCAGAACATGGCAGATGGATCAATCAATCCCACAGAGTTTGAAGTAACCGTATATAAATCCTCAGAAAGGAAAAGTGTGGCAACTCCTTTAATTTGCCACGTAATTCTTGAAGAGGATTAAGATGTATCGATGTGTTATCTTTGTTCTCTTTACATATAGATAAGTATTTTTGTCTTATTGAGTGTTACTGGAATGCTGAACCTATCTTTCTGAATTTTGCTCCACCATTTTCACATTGACAGTATGGCCTTTGATTTGGAGGGGATGATGAGCTCCATTTATTTGCTTTAGAAAATTAATTGTAACTGAAGAAAGTACAACCAATCACAAGGTTCACTTTGAGTTTTCTTCCCAAACACCTAGGTTAGAGCTGTGACATGTTTCTGAGTGTCACACCCTTTCCATGCTTGCCAGCATAATGGTTGCTCTGAACTACCCTGCTGAAGTCAGGAACAGTGCTGGGCACCTTGTGGCTACTCTGAAACCCTAGAATCACCATCGATATGACTTCTCTTCAGAATATCACAAAGGACCAGGTTCAAATACTGAGTTTGTGTACAACTTTAGGGAAGTTATTAAACCTCTTTATATGGAAAGTGGGGTGGTTACATCATCCTCGCTATATCATGGTGGAAATTTAGCTCAGTTCTTTTGGCACAAGAAGTGCTGGCTAAATGAGTAGCTGGTTTCCACTCTTCCTTTTTCCCACCCAGGTCAACATAAGACCGTAGCCTGTCCTACACTAAGGCACTTAATAAAATATAGTTTTTCTAATAAATCTCTGATTTTAGTTTTTTAATGATTTTATTTTTTATTTCTTTATGATTTTACATATTTTTTTGGGGGAAAATGATATGAAAGTAAATTACAGTTAAATTTAAAAATACTGAGAAATAATCTTTTTTTTAATTTTTAAGGAAATAGCATCTTGGTTCTCAAAGTCTGTCGTAAAAAACACAATAAATCTTTGCAGTATGTAGTTTTGGGTAAATTTGAGAAATAGTGCAAAGAAAAGAATGAAAGAAAAACAATTTAAGAGTAAAAGGATGTGAGGGAGATCTGGCTGCGACATCTGTCACCCCATTGATCGCCAGGGTTGATTCGGCTGGCTAGGCTAGCTCCTCCCTCACCGCTCCATGTGAGTCTCTCCCTCCCGGAAGCTGCGTGCACGGTCGAAGAGGACGACCATCCCCGATAGAGGAGGACCTTTTTCTGTCAAGGCCCTCCTCTGCTGCGTTCCCCTGCTAGAACCTCCAAACAAGCTCCTTAGAACCTCCAAACACGCTCTCAAGAGTAAAAGTCAAATGGCACAACTATAAAAACGGCAGCCTCTTACCATACCTAAATTAAGAATTGAGTGTTACTGGAATTTGCTAGAATTCAGAGTTTTGCTTCATCATTCAATTCTAAAATAAACTATGAGGATTCTGCAGATAAAAATCTGCCCACAAATTAACAATGCAGTGAGTGAGTGAGTTGGTTAAAGGGGGATTGCCATTGAAAGACATTTACAGTGTAACAGTGTTTATATAAAATAACACTAACCATCCCAATGCACTTAGTACTGCAGAACCTTTCCAAAGTAAGGGATACAAGGTGGCTTGTTTCTAGTTGAACACACTAAACAGAGATCAAGGTGGCAAACTCAGTGGAGAGGGAAAACACTAACACTATGAAGAAACATTCATAGGGCTAAGCCTCCTGAAGATAATGTGAGAGGGAATGGAAGTAGAAGGACTATTTTGCATAGAGTGACTGGAGAAGGCTTCTGCAGAGGTGACATTTGAAAGGATTTGAAAGTTAAGGAGTTGGTCTGCAGAAAGCCAGAGGAAGGGAGGAAGGGCTGAAGAAACAGCAACTGCAAATGTCCTGAGGTAGGGACTAGTTGGTGTGTTCATGAGGCAGCAAAGAGGTCAGTGCAGTTGCAGCAGGAAGCAGATGGAAGGTCGGAGCTGGACAGACACAGGCTTTGGCTGTCTTTTGAGGAAAACAGACTCCATTCTAAGCGCCATGAGGCAGTTTTAATCAGAGAAGGATGTGGTCCAACTCCTGTTTTAGCGGGTCCCCCTGGTTGCCATGAGAAAGAAGAATTATAAGGAATTTTCGTAAGGAAAGTCAGGAAGGCTAAACAATAGTGAGCAAGAGGAGGCTGATGCCATGCATAGAAGACAAGACATCACAACATGAAAGGTAGTCCAGTGCATTCAAATGAATGCAGCTTTTTTCATGTGGGGAAAAAATAGTTCCATGAAAGTCTCAAACTTTGCTTTTTTAGACCTAAGTTATATGAGAGGCTAATTATCAATAAATTGTATGATCCAAAGGACACATAAAAACAGCCACTGAGGCTTAGTGACCATGTAGGCTTCCTTGACAGCGTTGCAATTGAAGATTTCTGACATTTTCTTACCTCAGGGAGCCCTTCAATGAAAGAGTGGATATTTGCTGCCTTTGCAACTTCTTTTATCTCATCTAATGCACAACTCAGCTGTTATCACCATAGGCAATGTTTTCGGCAATGCTACAGTTGAAAAGCACAGGCTCTTGACAAACGATGGCTATTTGAGACTGGAGCCACTGAACATTCAATTCTTTTGCATCTATACCATCAAATAGCTGCCAAAAGCAGAGTGGAGAATGGCATGTTACCATCTGACAACTGTATCATGTTACAGCTCACTGTATTCAAACGTATACAAATCATAACAAGAAGGCTAGGAATTCAAGCTATTTCAAAGTATACTGTTACCCGAGGAAGACTCATAAATCATGTGTAGAGGCAAATTGCACATAATTCACCGAAATGCCATCTCCAAACTTACCTGACGTTTCTAGAAACGACCACATATTTCAGAGACCTGCCCAAAGTCTGGTGTAAACCCTGTCCTCTGTCTTGAGGTCACAAGGAAAATGATCAACATATTCCTTCAGTGTAACCAGACTCTTTATTAAAGCCCAATGAGAGTGGTGTAGAATGATGGAGGAGTCTGCTTGTAGAGATGGTCATTTTGCACTAGTTAAGTGTATTCACAGACTTGTTTTCAATTTTTTTTCAGTACCAGAGATTGAACTCAGGGTTTTGTGCGTGCTAGGCAAGCACTCTACTACTGAGCTACACCTCCAGCTCCACATGGGCACAGACAAACATTCACCTGGTATCTGATGAACATGCCTAGTACTTGATGACTAACTCTTCAGGTACCAATGAAATAGTGCAAGACAAAACACTTGCTCTCATGTAGCTTATATTCTAGCAGACGGAGATAGGCAATAAACACACTAACAAGTAACTCAATAAACTCAGAAGAGAAAGGGCCATGAAGATGGAGCAAGATGACAGACAGTGACTGAATGAAGTAGTCGCTATCCATCATGAAAGACTTTGCTGGTTTATTTTAACCATTGGAAGGTTTCAAGGAGGGAGTGTGCTAAATTAGGTGCAAGTAGATGAATGTGGATGAATGTTATCTAGTTCAAGGGAGCCATTTTAGACAACTGTTTTGTAAATTGTAACTTGAGAGAGAATGAGGATAAGAATGATAATCTTTGATTTTCAGGGACCTACAAAGTTTTGTAGGAGGTAGGACAAGAAACTGTGTTTGTGTGTGTGTGCATGTGTGTGCATGTCTGGAGAGAGAGAGAGAGAGAGAGAGAGAGAGAGAGAGAGAGAGAGAGAGAGAGAGAAAGAAGATGGGGAAGATGGATATAGTTAAATAAATGCAAGGTAAGAAAAACAATCAAATAATCCTTGGGTTCAAAGGAGGAAAAGGTTACATGTTTTAGAGATCACATATATAACTAAAAACGGTTGATTCAGATAAACCTTAAATATGCACAGGTTTTGACAGCTGGGGATGGCCACTGAGAACAGTGGAAACTTGATCAAGGAGGAGGAGAAAGGTATGATCCTTGCCCTAGACCAGAGCAATATAAAGAGCCCTGATTATGGGTGTGGAAGACGTTAGGTCTATTCCAACATTCTAAAACAATTTCATGGCTTTTAAGATCAAAATTTCTGCTGCCAGAATGGTTGAAGAATCTTCAGGCCATTGTATTTAACTTCAAAGAACTACCCATCATTTTTTGTTATTGGCTTGCTTGTTTTTGTATTTAAGGGTTGGGATAGAGATTTTTCTTTTTGAATTCTGCATTGTTGGCTATACCCAAAACACTGAGGAATGCTTAAGTCCAGTGAATGTTTCAGAACAGTACCCAGATTAGATGGATTTAAGTGCATTCTTACTACTACTTGTCCTTTCACAGGGTCATAAAATCTCTGCAGAAGTTACACTGAGGTGCTTTTTCCACACCCACTGCTCCCAACAAATGCGACCCTCTTCCCTTTCTCAATCCTGAGGGACAAGCTGTGAAGGATGAGAACATCTGGGCAACGTGGGTAGAAGAAAGAAACTTCTTGGAATTCTAAATTCCGTTCACATGTGGCCTGTGAAAGGAAGTTGATGGTGTTTAGAGGGGTGACTTGAAAAGGCTGTGACTCCAGGGAGCACACTGGCTAAGCACTTTCTGGAGATTGTATTTCCATAAACATTTTAATTTTAAGTATCATATTCATCTCTGTAGAGCTGCTTATTCAATGGTGGTTTTCATATCCTTTGTTTGTGTTTTTATATCCATTTCTTGTTATCTTCATTACTGGTCTTTACCAAACTCCTGAAGCTTTAGCTTCCTTTGGCTTGGCTACACAGACATGACTGATTCTGCCTGTTTTGCACACTGGCTATTTGACCAGCTACTCTGAATAAATATATCTTTAAAAAATGTTTTTAAGTGAAATTAGCCAGGCTCAGAAGACCAAAAATCGCATGTTCTCCCTCATATGCGGATTATAGACCCAAAACAAATACAATAATATTATTGGACATGGGTCACCCACTAAGGGGAGAAAACACACCAGAGAAATAGGAAACCTAAAACTTGAATGTGGTTGATGTGCTTGCTCCCTGCTGAGGAGTGAAGAAAGTAATTTTAACCTGGCAGAGGCCACTATGGGAAGGGGACCAGGAAGTCGTGAAGAGATCTGGTAGAAATGAACCAATGTGGATTGCAATACACATATGTGTGGAAACAATGCTAGGAATCTCTCTGTATAGCTATCTTTATCTCAAATTAGCAAAAGCGATGTGTCTTTCTTATTATCATTTATGTTTCCTCTTTAACAAAATCGGAGAAGAGGATGGAGCAGGTTCTGCCCAAAATAGGGGGGAGGTGGCACAAACAATGTATACACATGAAAGTAAGTATAAAAATGGTAAAATGAAAGGAGAAAATAAAAAAAAAGTTTTGGTTTGTGTTTTTCAGAACTTTACTGTTTAATTCAGTAGAAACTGGTCATCAATGAATTATATGCACAAATGTCATTTGTAAATTGGACTATGTTTTACATTTAATGTGCATTATATCTTGAGTTCTGATTTATTTTCATTTTCAATTGATCATTATTGGGCAATGACACTTGTCTAAAAGCTTAGTTTTCTATATGTCAATATCTTTAGTGATTATGACTTGTTTAAACCAAAGACTTTCCAGAACTACCACTAAATAATGATTACTTTTCCCTTTATATTTTTAGTTCATAGGATCTTAAGTTCTTCTGAAATTCACACTTGCCCCAATTGATTTTTTGGTGTGTGGTGTTGGTGACCGAACCCAGGACTTACCTTGCTAAGCACATGATCTATTACTAAGCTGTGTCTCTAGTTTCCTCCAATGCCATGTTAAGTATTATTAATTTTTGTTGCCAGTGTAAACATTAGGGGTAGGTGTATGTGTGTGTGTTGGGGGTGGTGTGTTTGTGGTGGTAATCATGGTTGAATTTTCAAACAGATTGTTTACTGTCAGGTTTAATAGTCAGGTTTAATATTCTCAGCTTAGCTTACAGATACCAGGCAGAAGAAGAAGAAGAAAGTATTTGATGATATTATTCTGTTGTAAAAAGAATGAAATGTTAAGCTAGATTAAGAGTTCTAGAAACAGAAGAAAGTATCTGGTAAGATACAGGTGAAATGTAGGTGTGGTGTAGCTTATTTTCAGCTTACTCAGTGTTTTCCATTTTGCCCTCTGCAACATATGAATATGACTTGCACAAAACAGTGAAAAATAAAATGAAATTATTTTTTGGTATTTTCTGGTGCCTTTCAGAAAGACATAGATAGTATAGGAAACTCTTAAACTTTGGTACACTTTAAAGTTTATTCCTACTATTTTTAATCGTATTTCTCTTGGAAAATATAAATCATGCATAAAAGGAGAGAGAAAAACGTGATGTACTGGCATTGCCTCATGGCTATTGCCTCATTTTACTACTTGTCGATAATTGTGTTTGACCATATTTTAATTTTTAAAATCAGAGGAAGTGATATTTAGAAGTATTTGGTTATTGAATAAAATAAGGCTTAAATAAGTTAATTTGATAGTCTTTATAAGAAATATCCATATATTCTATGCCATAGATATAGTATTTATTTATTTATGTGTTGCATTGCTGAACTCAGGGTCTCTGGGTACTAGGCAAGTGCTCTACCACCGAGCTATATCCCTAGTCTCTACACATATAGTTGTACAGGTCATGAGTAATTTGTTACATACTCAATTCCTCTATCGTAATTTTAGAAAGAAATAAAATTAGCAGTACTAAGATTAAAAAAAGGTTCTTATATCCTTTACTTTCCAGAAGACAAGTATGAAATCTTACTTAGACTGTGATACATCCTTGTGCATTATTTTTTTTTAAATTTCAATATCTTTTTATTTCTGTTGTTAACAATGCATGTTCCTTTCAATAACTGTGTATCTCTACTGATATTATGTTATCTAAATATATAATCTATTATTAAAATTCTAGAATGCAAGAAATATATAATTTTCAAGGTAAACTTTAAGGATATACCTAATAGTATATACTATTTTTAAAATTTAAAGTGTTTAGAAAGGTCTTGAAATTGATCATATACTTAACATATAGCACTATTACTGAGAAGCTTGTTTTGAAATTATTTAATTCTTCATTATTTCTCTTTAAATATTCACAAGCTTTAAGAGTTTGTAGTAAATGGTGTGTGTCAATTTAATATAGTTCCCTTTTAACTTCTTAAGTCTGCAGAGACTCATGAAAAACAGTGTCTGAAGCAATAGATATTATTTACTTTACATATTAACAGAGAAAAAAATGAATAAAATCTAATGAAAATATTCATCTGAGGGCAAAACTTTAAGTTTTAACTGTTGTTGTCTAAATATATTTCAATACACAATCAATCTTTTGTTGAAGATAATTCTCCTGACATTAAGCACTTAAGCTGAAAGCATATATTTTTGATATAAAAATATTTTAGCAATAGAGGTGAAAATCTGACTAAGACAAAGACCCCTGACTTTCTTGATAGTCTTAAAATTCTTTTATACAAACTTATGTTACCAGAGGACTCTTTTGCAGTGTTTACTAGTATTGCTTTCCTTAATAAGTGGACACTTAAAACCACAGTTGTGCTTACTGTTTTTTTCCCTTTTTCACTGTAGCTGTCTATGGTTGGTTTCTTTTCCAGATTTGGCTTTGGAATGTTCACTTGCCAACACAAGAGTTTCTCCCCTGGTCATGGTCTGTATGAAATTCCAGTTAAAAACTCTATCAAAAGATGAATTTGAATCTTAGATCCATTTTAAAGCAGTAGTGCTTTAAAAGTAAAGGAGAAAGTAGGCACAAGCATACAATCTTTCAGCCCAGTTAGAATCACTAATGCAAAAAGGCCCAACAATAGGCATCACTTTTCCAGCTTTCTAGCATGTGCTCTGTACACAAAAACAACCTTTGGAGCCTGGGTAATCTTAAAAATTCCTCTTCTGATCGGAGACACATATCAGAGATTCCAAGTAGTGAGTGTAAAACTTTGTAGCCACCTTGATACAGGTGGTTTGTTTGGAGATTTGACAAAGAATGCAAGTGACAATAGGAAGAATGATCTCCAGTAGTGAGATCTGAATTGACACAGTAGATACGATGTTGGTTTCTTCTTCTTCTTCTTTTTCTTTTTGCATATAATGTAGTTAGGACAGACAACTGAAGTTAAGTGATTGATTATCTGCCTCGTGTGCTACACGATTAGAAAGCAAAGCAGGGGATTGTACTTACTTAAGGTTCCCCAAACAAAATCTGACTAAAATATACTTTAGCTAAGCCGGGGAGAAGAGCTTTGATCTTCCAGGTTTGCTATAGATTGCAATCTCAGTATCAACACGTGTTCATCATAAAATGGTAAGCAGGCAAAGTGCTTTTTGAACAAGTACAGAATAGTCACAGAATTGTGGCATATCACATAGCCAAAGCTAAATAGTTTCCTTTTGTATTGTATTTCTTTTAGATATGAAAGTACTGTATTGGACAGTGCTTCCCAATAAGAGCTAAAGGTATAATTCAGCTGCAACGGGCAAGTCTCACTGGCGATATTTAAACACTAGGCAGTAAAGGACGTCCCAGAACCCAATTGCTTGCTTGCTGTGCTGGATCTCAGCAAGGTAAACATGTCTGGGCTCCTCATGAATTCCTCCCTCTGTGAGACCTAACAAAAGGTGGATGTTGCAATCTCTTCAGTGACTTTGACCTCAGATGCTGAATCTTGTTGGTTTTACAAAGATCAAACGCTGTATAAAATATAAAAACAACCAGTTTACAGGGATGTCTCATACTAAAGTTATTGCAGTCATCAGCTCTGGGCTGTTAAGGCATTTTTAGTGCTAATACTTACAGAAATATTTTAAAGTAAACATACTTGCTATCCAGTTATAAAGAAAACATTTCAGTTGAAGTAACACACTAAGGTTCATTTAAAAAAATTATTAGCATAAATTCATTGCATAAAGGATTTCATTGTGATATTTACATACAAGCATGCAATGTAGTTTGAGCAAATTCACCCAATCTATTTTACTCTTTTCTTATTCTTTCCCTCCACTCCTACCCGCTTTTAATGGTTTTCAGTGGGTTTTGCCATACTATTTTCATACTATCATGTTCTCAATCATATTCACTCCCCATCACCTTCTCCTTTCCCTGTTCCCCTGCAGGTCTCCCTTTTACAATCATGTCATAGTAATCATTATTTATTTTTAGGTCTAGATTCAGCATAGGAGTGAAAATATGTGGTATTTGTCTTTCTGAGCTTGGCTTATCTCAATCAACATCATGACCTCTAGTTCTACCCATTTTTCTGCAAACAACATAATTTCGGTCTTCTTTATGGCTGAATAATATTCCGATGTATTTATGTACTGCACTTTCTTTATCCATTCACTGGTTGTTGAGCACACAGCCTGATTCCACAACTTGACTGTTGTGAATAGCACTGCTATACTCATGGGTGTGCAGGTTTTCTTTTCTTTCTTTCTTCTTTTTTTTTTTGCCTGTTTGTTTGTCTCTTTTGTTTTGTTTTGACACAAAGTCTTGGTCTTGCTTTGTAGCCTGGGCTGGCCTCAAACTTGAGATCTTCTTGCATTAGCAAGTTACTAATAATACATTTATAATACTAGTATCAATCTATAATTGCTTATATATCTCCTTCATGCCTATAAATAGAGTATAAGAAACATTTCACAGTTCAGAAATGATTTTCACATTGAAACCTTAAAGCACAAATATGTAAAACAGGAATTAAATAAGCCTGAAAGTTAACTTCCATAGCTCTCACAATTTTAAATTGTTCATGGAAGAAGAAATCTTACCTATAGTAGTCTATCCTTACCTGATACTGAGTCCATAGCAAAATCTTTGGGCTGGCTAGGGTTGAGGGAGAGGATATGGAGCCACAGAAGTCGGGGAAGGAGCAGCCCAGCATCTTCAGGTGTTTGGCCTCTTCTTCCTTAGTTAATGGCTTCTCTAACGTGGTCATTGCCACTGAATCCTCACTGCACAGATCCTTTCAAGCATGTCTGAGAAATGGGGAGATCTTGTCACTTATCATTATTGTTAAGGTAAAACTGGAATTTTAAAAAGATCCTTTCAGATAGGAGCAACACAAAAAAGCATAGAAATGAATAATCCTAGTTTTAAAACAGTTGATCTAAACAGGGATAACCTTCACAGTTACTGGTTGAATGGATTTATCTCCCCTGAGCCCTGTTCCTGTAACCAGTTTGTAGACGTTCACTGGCTTATCCTAAGAGGAAGTTTAGTGGCTCTGAAGCCAGTGTACTGGTACCAATCCAAACTCCACCATTTACTTACTGCTAAGTGACATTGAGAATTTTACTTAACTTCTGTGTGCTTCTGTTTCCTTATTGGTCAAGAGGAGATAAAAATATCTGAATCTTATAAGGTTGTTGTAAGAATTAAATGCATACATAATCTACAGTGCGTACGTGGAGTATGCGGCCTGAAGCATAGGAAGTGCTAAACAAGGTTTCTTTGTTATTCCTCTCATGGCATGAGAGTGAATGGGTCACTTTCTGTTAGCATAGAAGTTCTCACACTTCGGTAGAATGACATTAGATCAGAAGACTCGATTACATTGTTCAAAGACCCCTGCTTAGTAAGTTTCACTCTCTCATTGGAAGGCAGAGCATCTTTCTTCCCAGAGTGATTTCCAGGCACATCCTCTTTTCCCCGACATCCCGACACAGCCCACAGACCCCCTTCCCACTCTAAGTCCTTTCTGCTTCAGATGGGAGGAAGAAAACAAAGCATGGGAAATTTATTTAGTCCTTTGGCTCTTATAAAATGTTTTCATATCCATGATACAATCTGGTCACCTAGGAGAAAAGTAGAGCAGGAACACTTACTACCTAACAAAGGAAGAAACTCCAGTCCAGAAAAAAATAATGCAATTGGCCCAGTATCAAACAACTTCTGGGTTAGAATATGAACCTCCTGGTTCACTGTAAGTCTTCCCACCTCCCCCATGCTCCTTCTAGTGCAAAGTTGGCTTGATGGCCTTTCCCTGCATGGTGGGGTTTGTTACCACCTGTCCCTATCTTAGAATTGTCACAGGCCCTAGATATCAACTCTCCCTTGGTTCCTTATCCTGTCCTCCTTCTTCTTGATAATCTCTGAGGAGGAAAGAGGCAGAAGTTGGTTAGCTGTCATGGCAGTAAAAAGGGAAAGAAACCTTTCCCGTTTTCTTTGCGTTGGTTTACAAAGGCTACTTTCCTAATTATAATGATCACATGCACAGTTCTTTCATGTCTCCAGACCAAAAATGGTGGTGGTGACCTAGTATGCTTCTTTCAATCCCTTATTATTTCAAAGGCATCAGCTATCTGTTAATATTCACTGAAAGCCCACCTATGTTGGTCTTTGGGCTGATGACCAAATCTAATATTGAAAGTCTAATATGATTTTCTGTCAAGAATTGTGTTTAGATTTCAGGAAGACTAAGCCACAACACATGGGCTGTCTGGCTCTGCTTCCTGGTAGTGTTAAAAGCTGTGGCTTTTAATATATGGTCATGTTTTGATCTTCTCTTACCTATTTGCTGTACATGTAGCTTTCTTACCAATGTGTACCACAAAGAAGGAAGTAAGTCATAGAAATAGAGGAAGGACCCTCAGTGGAGAATGGAGAGTTACAAAAACCTCTGCCAGGCATCAGTGTTTTCTGGACAATATTGTAAATGGCAAATCAGCCAGAACCTAGCCTAATGCAAAATAAGACAGGAGAGAATAATCTTCTTTTGTATTTCTATAACTATACATTCATAGTGAATTGACAAATTGAGTGTTGCTGGTCTAAACAAAGGGAGAAGGGAGTCTTTTCCTCCCCATATGTGTGTGAGAGCCTAGACAAGAGGTTTTCTAACTACCCCTAGTCCCTAACTGCAAAGCAGCAGAATTAAAATGTTAGATTCCTATTTAAATGCTCATTTCAGAGAAATTTCTACAATAATAGCGATGACAGGAGACAGCTTTTATCATGAACCATGCACTGTGCCTTTTGTAAAGAGGCTTTTCCTATAAACAGCGCTGTTGGTAAACTAATGTGGACACATTAAGAAAGTCTACTCTGAAAACTCCCTTTGTGCTTCTCAATTTCTAAGCATGCTATCATTTCTGAAAGAGAGATAGCTTATCTGTGCTGTAGATACAAACCTCAAAAATATATTTACATTTTATTGGGCAAATCACTCATTTTTTATTTTTAGCAATAAATTAATATGTGACTTCCCCAATTTTTACACAATTTTAGGAAAGATTTTAGAAGTGGCCAAAATAATTTCATAAGGTTTTATGCAGGTATGGAGAAAAACCTGGGATTTAGTTCCTGTGTTCATGTTTTGTTAAATGTGATCCTCAGATCTTATACCTTGGAATAATCTATGATGTTTGATGGAAATGCAGATTCCTGACAGATATCAGATATATGAACCAGACTTTGTGGGGTGAGCCTTAAGTGTCTGCATTTTTAACCAGCTCTGAGATTGGTGAATTGAGAAACCATTGGTTAGGGGACTGGCATAAAGTGCTTTTACTTTAAAATAATTAGTTTTAAATCTTACTAAGACACGAATAGGAGGGAATTTTCTTCGTAAGCCTCTTCCATTCAGTTAGTTGGTTAGAAAGAAATCTGTCAGTCTAGATTCTGGAAAGCATAGTCTTGTAGGCCAGGTATAGTT